AGCCCCTTGTCCCGAACAAAGTCATATTCCTGGTTTCCAGGGGGTTACATACTGGTTTACATACCCTGGTTTCCAGGGTTGTAGACATACTTTGTTAATGTTTTATTTATTTCTGAGAAAGAGATCGCAGGGCGGGGGCAGAGAGAGAGGGAGTCACAGAATCTGAAACAGGCTCCAGGCTCTGAGCTGTCAACACAGAGCCGATGTGGAGCCCGAACCCACGAACCGTGAGATCATGACCTGAGCCGAAGTTGGACACTCAACTGACTGAGCCAGCCAGGCGCCCCTATTGTAGACATATTTTGGGGGCCACTACCCAGCCTACCACAAATAGCAATAGCTAACATTTCTGGGATGCTCATTACACGCCAGGCACCCCACTCAGCACTTCACAGGTATGAGCTGATGTAAACCTCACAACCTCGGCCTTTCCAGCCTGGAGAGGCACCATCCTCCTGGGGCACCCTCCTTCCATCCGTGGCTGACACGAGCAGGAGAGACGGGCGGGAGAACTCAGTGAGCCCTTCTGGCTCAGGACACCCCAGCTAGGTTGATCTTCTTTTTCAAGTTTATTTATTTATTTTGAGAGAGAGAAAGCACAAGTGGGGAATGGGCAGAAAGAGAATCGCAAGCAGGCTCTAGGCTCTAAGCTGTCAGTGCAGAGTCCAACGTGGGGCTCGATCTCACAAATCAGGAGATCACGACCTAAACCGAGATCGAGAGTCGGACGCATAACCGACTGAGCCACCCAGGCGCTCCGAGGTTGCTCTTATTCTTAATTCCATTTTACAGATTAAGAAATTGAAGCCCCTTTTTTAAAAAATAAAATTTTAAAAGGTAATGGAGAAAGGAAAATGATAAGAAGAGGTGAGCAAACTGAGGTTTAGAAAGAGGCCAAGTGAGAAGCCAAAATCCCAGGTCAGGTCACTCTGATCTGACCCTCTTTCCTCCGCAGTAAAAACAGCGGTGGCTTTTATGGCCATCACGTTCAAGAGATGCAGGCTTTGCTCTCAAGTGCTGCACGTGGGGCCTCTTACTTCATCTTCATGGCCAGCCTACAAATTAGGTACTGTTAACTGGCCCCATTATACAGATGAGGAAACTGAGTCAACAAGGTCTCTGGTGGCCGAGCAGAGGAGCTGGCATCCTTCCTGGGCTGATGAGCTCTGGTGCCCGTGAACCTTTGCAAGAATTGGAATCCTAACCAAGTGTTCGGGGCTCCCCCTCTCCGGAACAGCTTGGCACAACTATTCTCAAGGGCACCCTTCCACCCTTGGCCGTGAGGAAGCTCCCTTGCTCTTTTCCTGCCTTTCTGGGGCCTTGGGAGACACACTGCCTCATGAGCAGGGACCTTTCTGTTTATCTGATTCCATCCCTACCGCAGTCATTCCCATTTCTACTTTACAGATGCGGGCAGGTCCCTTCGCACCGGAGCAGCGAGCACAGGACAGAACCCAGGTTCTCCACACCCCTGGTGGGGGCTCTCTCGGCCACCTGAACCCCGCTTCCTGAACCTTCCATTCTGCTGTCGCAGAAAAGCGAATGCACGCAGAAGGAATGATGCAGCCAGGAACTGCCACTCCCGTGGGTGACTGCTTGCCGAGGACTGGGGTCATCACATACTCAGTCTCGAAGCAGCTCCAATGTTCAAAGAAAAACAGTAACTGGACCGCAGAGGCACCAGGCAGACCCCATCTCACCCAAGTGTTTGAATTTATACCAGCAGCGATAGGACACACCAGTATGATGAGCCTCCTGATAGAATGCCCTGAGGACACAATGTCATGTCTGGGCTATTCCTGCCTGTTACGGGCTGAGTCGTGCCCCCCCTTCGTATGTGCGAGCCCTAACCCCCCAGCACCCCGGAATGTGGGTGTATTTGGAGACAGGGCCTTTAGGGGTGATTCAGTTAAAATGAGCCCATAAGGGTGGGCTCTAATCCAGTCTGACTGGTGTCCGTATAAGAAGAGGAAATCTGGACCCACAGAGAGCCGAGAAAAGACGAAGTGAGGACACAGTGAGGAGGTGGCCGTCTGCAAGCCAAACAGAGCGGCCATGGGAAAAACCAGACCTGTGGACCTTGACCTTGGACTTCCAGCCTCCAGAACTGTGAGAAAATAAATGTCTATTGTCGAAACCACCTATGTGGCTATATTTTGTTACAGCAGCCTCAGCCAACTAATACACTGAATCTAATCGGGAGAAAACACCAGACAAACCCGAGTGAGGGCCATTCTGTAAAGAAATTGGGGCCTGTATGCCTCAAAACGTCAAGGGTATGAGGAACAAAGAACATGGACTATGCCAGATTGGAAGAGTCTAAATAAAGAGGCACGATCTTGGTCTTGTACTGGAGCCTAGTCTAGGGGGAAAGAACTTTGTCCTTTGCTATAAAAGTCATGATTTGGACAATTGGGGAACTGAATAAGGTTTGCACGTTAGACATCTGTGTTATATCAGTGTTGATGTCCTGGTTTTGATCCTTTCCCTTGTGTTTTAGGAGTAAAGGAAGTGTTTAGGGGTAAAGGAAGAACCATCAGCAAGCGGCTCTCAAATGTTAAGGGAGAAAGTGTGGCTGTGGGTGTCTGTGTACATAACGGAGAGAGAAAGAGCTAAAACAAATGGAAAAGAGACAGTGTTAAAAAACAAAATGCAACTGAGTACATTTCTAACATCTTATTGGCTTCCTGCAACCATTCACGAATCAGGCAACATCCAGTCCAACAGACGCTCCGAAGAGCTGTCCAAAAAGACTTTCCTAGGCAGAAGGGGTGGGAACAGAGAAGCTACACCACCCAAAATGGGGGTTGGTTAATTGCAAGGTCACTTTCTTTTAGGGCATGGCAGGGGTCTGTAGGGCAGGTCGGGTTACTAACTAGGGCTTATCAGGCGATTCCACATTGGCTGGCTTAAGATTCCATTTTTGGGAGACCCAAGACTTGAAATGTCAGTTTGATACCGTGGGGCTTAGCATAAATGACTCCATTCGGGACCTTTTGTCTTTTTTTTTTTTTTCCTTTTGTTTTTTGTTTCCTTTGGGTCTTTTTTAAAAAAAATTTTTTTTACCATTTTATTTATTTCTGAGAGAGAGAGAGAGACAGCACGAGCAGGGGAGGGTCAGAGAAAGAGGGTGGCACAGAATCCGAAACAGGCTCCAGGCTCTGAGCTGTCAGCACAGAGCCCGACGCAGGGCTCGAACCCACGAACCATGAGATCATGACCTGTACCGAAGTCAGATGCTTAGCTGACTGAGCCACCCAGGTGCCCACTTTCGTCTTGTTTTTAACAACAGTTAACATTTGAGGAATCCAGGTGAAGAGTATATGGAAATTCTTTGCAGGAAGTCTGAAATTCTTTCAAAATAAAAAGTTTAAAGCCTTCCCTTGTCCTTCAGGAAAAAACCCACCTCACCGGCCCTTCCTCCTCCAGGGGCCCCGACCTGCCTGAAGCCCACGTTTGCAGCCCTTATCTCCCCCAAATTCCCTCTGCCTCAACACGATACCCCCACCATCATCCCCTATGCCCCCCACACTTCTGACTTCCCCCACCCCCACCCCTGCCCTGCCCGTGGTACCCCGCCGACCCACCAAGCTTCCCCCATGTAAGCTCCCATCACAGAAAGTTCATCATCGCCAAGCGCTCAGTCGTTATCACACAGGACTTGTCCCACCCATTCCTCGTTGCTGTCCATCTTTCTGTCCATGCTGCGAGATTGGATTCCTATCCCCGGTTCACAAGCAGGAAAATGAAGCAGAGAAAAGTGATGTGGCCCATCCACAGCTAGGAAGAGGTAGGGGCTGGGTCAGAGCCAGTCTCTGAAGGACGGAGCCACTCGGCGCACTGAGCAGCGGGCCACGCTCAGCGGTGTTGGCTAGCGCTGATGGGGTCGGGCGGGGCGCTCCCCTGACACCAGGACAGCGCTAACGAGGCTTTGGGACAGCCTGGCTTGGGGGACCCCTGCTGTCTGTGGGCCAGTCTCCTTGTCAATAGGCTTCATTTCTCTGAACTGTCCGGGCTTCAGCACAGAGGTCCCGGGTTCCCCGCATGGTTACCAACGCACATTCGGGCAGTACGTTTATTACAGTTATTTTTATTTTTTAATGTTTATTTATTTTTGAGAGAGACAGACAGAGTGCAAGTGGGGAGGGGCAGAGCGGGAGGGAGACACAGATCTGTAGCAGGCAGCACAGAGCCCCCATGCAGGGCTCGAACCCACCAACCGTGAGATCATGACCTGAGCTGAAGTCGGAAGCATAACCAACTGAGCCACCCAGGTGCCCCCATTTATTAATGAACCACTGATGACCTGCTGTGATGAACCTAAGTCCGTTTCCTCAGCCTCTACCTGAAGTCCTCCTTCTGCTCCAGGATCCCAGCCAGGAGGCCTCGTTACATGTATTGTCTGTCGTTATATTTCATTAGTAACAGCCATGGTCCCATTAATGTCCTGACCCTCTGGAGAGCCCCGTGGAGGCCCTAGTCTGTTCGCCAGCCTGTCCCCCGGCCATCCATCCACGTGCTCTCAGGGCAAGGGTAGCGCCTCGGCCTCTGGGGTCTGCACAGCCGTCCAGAGAGCTCAGTTAGCAAACTAACCCCGCCTGCTGCCTACCCCTACGGCCCGGAGCCCCCAGTGCACACAGGAGGCCCTGGAGAGCCAGACAGGGCACGGAAGGGACGATGAGGGGCTTGGAACCAGCCCCTCCGCCTACCGGCAGCCTCATCCATCCCAGAAGAGTCCCTCCTCCCCATCTCCCAGCTGGGATCACTCAGCTGAGCCAGCATCAACCCCCAGCTGGAAGGCGGGAAGTCAGGGTGAAGGCAGATTTCTGAGCAGCTACAGGGCCCGGGCCTGGGAGGCTGCCTTCCTCCGCTTCCAGGGTAGGAATTTCACCAGAGCCCCTGGTGGCCAGGCGGGGCTCCTCCAGGTGAGCCCCCTTTGCCCCTAGATGTTCCCAGTCGCCAACCCCCGCCCCCATATAAGGCCGGGGCTTCAGGGAGGCATGAGCCAGTGCGGGTTGCCAGTGGTGGCTGTGGTGTATCTGGTGACGAGAGCTCCGGCCATGGTGTGGGGTTGCTGCGTGGCGCTGCTGCTGGTGGCCGCCCTGGGGCTGGGGCAGCGGCTGCTCCCTGAGCCTGGGGTCCGGGGCCTGCGGCACAGCTCTGACTGTGGAGTCAAGGGCATGCAGCTGCTGGTGTTTCCTCCGCCGGGCCAGACCATCCGCTTCAAGGTCGTAGGTGAGCATGGCCGAAAGCAGGTCCCCACCTCCCTTGTGGTAGGAACAGGAAGAGAGGCCTCTCCACCCCTACTCTGTCACCATAATGGGGAGAGGGAGGGAGCAAGGTGAGTTGCCAGCCTCAGTTTCCCCGGTCACCCAGGGCCTCTCTTCCCACGGTAAGTGTTTACCGCCACCTTGCGGAGTTGCAGGTGTTGGCCCACTCTGGCCACTGGCCCACTCTGGCCACTCTGAGGGACAGGGCCCTGGTGGGTGTGGCCTGGTATGGAGAAAACGGCAGGGGAGGTGTCACAGGTTCCGGGGAAGACCTGAATCTGCAGCTTCTAAACTTTTTGTGAGCAGCTGACCTGACCTCTCTGAACCTGTTTCCTTGACTGTGAGATGGGAAAGATGACCCCAGCCTTGCTATGTGCTCTGAAGGGGGGGGGGGCATGCCCGCATGCCCGCATGCCCGCCCCCGCTGTGTGCCCTGGCGCTCTGGGCGGGCAAACAGCCAGTAGGTGTCCCCCAGTGACTGCAGTGGCCAGTTAACCTGGCAGACGGGTTACAAGACCCCAGGTCCAAATCCTTCTGCCCCTCATTGGGCCCACCTGAGAAGGCTCACGCTCAGCGTCTCAGCCACAGGACGGGGATGCCTGGCTTTTCAAGAACAGATCTGAGATACCCAGCCCAGGGGCACCTGGGAATTTCAAGTCAGTTAAGCAACTGACTTCAGCTCAGGTCATGATCTCCTAGTTCGTGGGTTCAAGACTCACGTTGGGCTCTGTGCTGACAGCTCAGAGCCTGGCACCTGCTTCAGATTCTGCGTCTCCCTCTCTGCTCCTCCCCCACTCACATTCATTCATTCATTCTCTCTCTCTCTCTCTCTCTCTCTCTCTCTCAAGAATAAATAAACATTTAAAAAAACTGTTTTAAATAAAATACCCAGTCCGGTGCCTAAGACCGTACTAACCTTTTCTCCTCCACGTTTTCATTACTGCTTGCAGTCGCCTACCGTTAACAGGGACCCACAGCTGGAAAGATCCTAAATCCGGCTGAAGCTACTCCCTTACAGATGGGTACACTGAGACCAGCAGGGAGGGGCACACTGTCCACGAGTCGGGAAGCTGAGGCTGCAGCTGGGGTCTCCTGCTCCCAAGTGGGGTTTTTTTCTGCACACGCCAGCAGCCTCTGGCTTCACCCTCCAGCACAGCTGGCCCTTCCAAGCCCACAGCCCTCTCTCCCCCGCCTCAGATGAATTTGGGAACCAGTTTGAGGTCAACAACTGCTCAGTCTGCTACCACTGGGTGGCCGCCAAGCCCCTGGGCCCCGCCGTCTTCTCCGCCGAGTACAGAGGCTGCCATGTGCTGGAGAAGGTAGGGATCGCTGCTGGTCTCGGGGCCCAGCCCGACCTCACACGGGCTGGAGAGGGGGCTTCAGATGGCTGTGCTGGTCCCACCTGCCTGTGGGCTGGTGGCCGGAACCAGCCCTCAAGTCCAGCTCCCTGCCTGACGCCCTTCTCCCCTGCAGGATGGGCGCTTCCACCTGAGGGTGCTCATAGAAGCCATCCTGCCCGATGGTCGAGTTGACACGGCCCAAGAGGTCACTCTGATCTGTCCTAAACCTGGCCTCACCTGGACTTTGGACTCCCAGCTGGCCTCCCAAACGGGCTTCTCCCTTTCTTCCCCTCATACCCAGCCCCTCCACCCCACCCCAGAGGGCAACTGGGGCCATCCGACCCCTGCCTCGCTGCCCCTAGGTCCTGGACCCACCCATCCCACCCTGACTCCACCCCAGTGGAGCACCTTGGAACCCTGGGGAGTTGACGAGCCCCTTTACCCAGGTACGTAGGACTTTTCCACGTGTGTACAGAGTCTGGGCCTTCTGGAGCAGTGTGCGGCCTGATGGCCCTCCACTGGGCTCCGGAAGCCACCTGCCTCTGTTTCCCTGGAAGTCCCCTATGCAGTGTGGCCCTTCCTTGTGTCCTCACCACTCTGTCCCATCCCCAGGCGCACCTCTGACCCGGGAGCAGTGCCATGTGCCCTCTGGGCACATCCCCTGTGTGGTGAGAAGAGGCTCCAAGGAAGCCTGTCACGAGGCCGGCTGCTGCTATGACAACAGCAGAGAGGTTCCCTGTTACTATGGCAACACAGGTAGACCTCTCAGCACCTGAAAGCTGAAGCTGCAGGAGGGCTTCCTCCCCTGCCCCTCCCCCAACACTGCACTCCCTTTACACCACCCAGTCCCCAGGAGAGCCTGAGTCCCCTTTACACCACCCAGTCCCCAGGAGAGCCTGAGTCCCCTAATGGGCCACAGGAGGGACCTTTAGATGGGGTGACCACCCGTCCCAGTTTGCCTGATGACTGTTGTCCCACGGAACTCTCTCCCTCCTTTTTTTTTTTTTTTTTAAACATTTATTTATTTTTGAGAGACAGAGCATGAGCAGGGGAGGGGCAGAGGGAGCACAGAATGTGAAGCAGGCTTCAGGCTCTGAGCTGTCGGCACAGAGCCCGATGAAAGGCTCGAACCCACGAACCGGGGGATGATGACCTGAGCTGAGGTCGGACGCTTCACCAACTGAGCCACCCAGGCGCCCCCATGATAGATCTGTCTTTCCATGTACCCCTGCCTTTTTAGATCTAGGACATCTCAATTTAAGTAATCGCCCCAACCCAACGTGGGGCTCAAACTCCTTCCAAGATGAGTCCCATGCTCCCCCCTAGAACATCCCAGTTTAGATGATAATAGCGCCCCTCTTTCTGGAGCTTGTTTTGTTTCCATGCATGAGAAAATCTGGGTCCGTAAAGGGTTTGCTCAAGCTAACACGGGCACAGAGAGGAAGAGACCCTGTCACTGGCCCATCCCCCATGTCTGGGTGGCATGGCCCTAACCCTGGGGTCCCGGTCGGCCTCTCTGACCTCCGTTTGTCCCAGCAACTGTCCAGTGCTTCAGAGATGGCCACTTCGTCCTGGTGGTGTCGCAAGAAACCGCCGTGGCACACGGGATCACGCTGGCCAATATCCACGTGGCCTCTGCCCCCACCAGCTGCTCCCCCACTCAGGACACGGGGTCCTTCGTGGTCTTCCAGTTCCCTCTGACCCACTGTGGGACCACCCTCCAGGTAGGGGCGGGCGGGGCCGCAGGCTGGTGCCCAGGACCGCCCCCCGGGAGGGCCTCACCCCGTCCTCCTCTCCCGCAGGCCGTTGGCAACCAGCTCCTCTATGAGAACCAGCTGGTGGCAGACATCGACGTCCGCCTGGGGCCACGGGGCTCCATCACGCGGGACGGCGCCTTCCGGTGAGGGGAGCCTCCCTTGAAAGGCTGGGCTGTGGCTTGGGTGTGAGGGAGCACAGGTGAGCTTAGGACTGGCTTCGGAGCCACCTGGGCTCCTGTCCATGCTGTTCCCTGCTGCGTGACCTCCGGACAGCCTCCCGTGCCAGGCCGGGCTCGGGGACCAGGGCTGACGCGGGCATCAGCAGAGTCTGCCCCCACGTGGCAGGCAGGAGCCACGGCAGTGCGTGAGCGGGCCGGGGTCCTCAGCAGCAGCCTTTATCCCCCCAAGAACTAAGCTCAGAAACCAAGCTGCAAACATTTTCCTCGAGGCCCCTGGAAACAGTGGAAGCCGTGAGTGTGGCTGTTGCTACCTCCCCATTTCCGAGGTCACCAGCCACAGATGAGGCAAAGATACCTGGGGGGGAGGAGCCCTGGGGGGGGGGCGGTTTGCAGAGAGTTACCTTTTGTTAAAAGGGAAAGCATCTAGAAGCTGGAGGTCAAGGTGGATACAGAATGCCAGGGGGCCAGATGTGGGCCCCCACTAGGAGTGTGTGGGGTCATTTAGGCTAGCGAGAGACCCCAGTCCTGGGGGCCCACCACCTACCACTGCAAGGACCGTGACGACACTGGGGTGCTATCCGTGACCAGCTCCTGTCCGGGGCAGGGGTGCAGAGTCCCCTAGTGCTTGCTCGGTAGTGTCCGGCCGCCCTGCTGGACTGGGCCCTGGCTGCTGCATCCACGTAGTTGGTGTCTAGTTTGTGGAAGTGAGCAGGCCGTGCTGATGCTGGGTCTTCTCCCCGCCCCATGCTCTTGCACTTGGACTTCAGGCTTCATGTGCGCTGCACCTTCAACGCCAGTGACTTCCTGCCGCTCCAGGCATCCATCTTCCCGCCCCCCTCGCCTGCCCCAGTGACCCGGTCAGGTCCCCTGCGGCTCCAGCTGCGGATCGCCAAGGGTATGGGGTCCCCAGGGTCTCCTCCTCCTGCCCCGTGTCCCCACACACAGCCCACCGAGGCTCACGAGCACCTCACCCTGCAGATGAGGCTTTCCGCTCCTACTACGAGGAGGGGGACTACCCCGTCGTGAGGCTGCTCCGCGAGCCCGTGTCCGTGGAGGTCCGGCTCCTGCACCGGACAGACCCCAGTCTGGTCCTGCTGCTGCACCAGTGCTGGGCCACTCCCAGCGCCAGCCCCTTCCAGCAGCCTCAGTGGCCCATCCTGTCAGACGGGTGAGCGGCAGTGGGGGCTGGGACTGCCCAGGGGGCTCCATCCCACCCCCCTCCCCCCACAACCCTCCCAGTCTCTCTGCAGCTTCCTTGGTGTCTTTCTTTCCCAGGTGTCCTTTCGATGGTGACAGCTACAGGACCCAACTGGTGGCCTCGGATGGGGCAAGACTGCCCTTCGCATCACACCACCAGCGCTTCACCATTGCCACCTTCGCCCTCCTGGACCTTGGCTCACAGAAGGCCCTCAGGGGACAGGTAAGAAGTGCCTGCCCCCAGTCTGTTCAGTGGGATAAGCTGGTCCCCGAAGCGCTCTAGCACCCTGCAAGCCAGAGGTCCCCAGATGGGGCTTCGTGGAGGGTGGCAAGCCAGGTCCCGGCCACCAGCAGACCACTGGAGAGGGACGAAGGGAAACCCAGAGTGTGGAGGCCACCAACCCTAAATCTGAACCCAGTTCACGGTGCTCTAGAGTGACTTTGCTTCTGACTCTAGAAATCATGCGTTTCAACATCATCCTGCTTGAAATGGTTATGATCTTACAACTTCTCCGGAAGGTAAATGGGTCCACCTAGGGTATATTTAGGTTTTCTGCAGAATACATGAATGGCCCCATAGGCCATGGGCTGCCACCGAACTTGTTCTGCTGAAAGCCGTTCTCACGTTACTACGTACAGCCCTCTCTGTATCTTGAAGCACATGCAGACAGACGTCGCCAGTTAGCACTGTTAGGGTGGCTTCCTTCTCTTTACCATGTGCCTCTCAGGAGCCCAAGAGCCTCTCCCCTGCTGGATGAAGGCGCATCTGTGGGCGGGGCCTCCGGGGGGCTCAGCCCAGTTCCACTTGTCTGGCTCCTCCTCCTTCTGGCAGCTGCCCCTGGGAAGGAGGGAGGCACAGATTCCAAACTAGGAAGCCACAGTTCTGGCTCTGACTCTCTGCAGGAGGGGCTGTGGTCTTGGAACACAGCCAGACCTCCACCTACCTAGGCCAGCTGGCAGCAGTGTGGACTCGGCCTAGGTCCTGGATTCTGGGTCCCTGTCCGGTGCTTCCTGCCCGTGGCTCCCAGCCCGCCCCATGCCCTTGACCGTCTTCTCTTCCCACCAGGTTTACCTCTTCTGCAGCGCCTCTGCCTGCTCCCCGTCGGGGCTGGAGATGTGTTCCACCACGTGCAGCCCTGGGCCTGCTAGTGAGTCCGGGGTGGGGGTGGGGTCTTCATTCTCCTGTCCGTAGGCCTCTGGGCCACTAGGGCAGAGACCAGCCCCAATGCCACTTCCACCCCCTCCCCCCCCCCAAACACAGGACAGCGACGCTCCTACGCTCCGCACCACGCCGCCGCCGGGCCGCAGAACCTCGTGAGCTCTCCAGGGCCAGTGCGCTTCGAGGGCTCCTCCAGGCTGGAGCGTCCGCTGGCGCCCACCGGTACGTGCAGGCAGGAAAGGCTGTGACAGCGCTGGGGCCGGGGGACTGAGCGAAGACGGACACCGTCCCCCTGACCTGCAGAAGGGCGGCCTCCGCTCTGCGGGGCCTGATCCAAGAAGGTCAGGCAGGTGGGGACCGTCGGAGGGGCCTTGCTCAAGCCTCTGAACCCCTTCTCTTGCACAGGCTCCCCCAGGAGCACCAACCAGAGGCCTCCCCTCTGGGTGGTCCTGCTGCTGGTGGCTGTGGCCCTGGTCCTTGGAGTCGGAGTTTCTGTGGGCCTGAGCAGAGCCAAGCCCAGCAGCTCCAGGAAGTCCATGGAGGGTGACCGGGCTCAATAAACTGCCGTCTCCAGACCACTGAGCAGGTGTGGTAAAGCTGTTCGTGGCGACTAGAAAGATTCGGTCTTAGAAGCATGTTCCTTAGCATCAGTTCTGACCTGGGAGAACCGTGGTCTCTCCTACAAATACTCAATAGGGGCCACACCGTGGGTGGGGTCCAGGGTCTCCCGAGGCTGAATTGGGAGACTTAGCCTTGCGGCAAGGGGAGACGGCATTCCAGAGAGAACCGGACAAACAAGGGTTGACAAGGGTAAAATCACGGCAGGGGTCAGGGCTGCAGTAGGTAGGAACGGGGAGCCCTCCGGGGGTGAAACGGCCTGTGATGGGGGCTCCTCCCAGCACGCTGCTCAGCTCCCTGTGGGGAGGGGAGCCCAGAGCTCCTGGGGCCTTGAAGAAGCTCTTCAGTCTTGCTCTGAGCCTCTCAGCTTCCCACGAAAGGATGCTGGGCTGCCGTTCCCCTCGCCAGCGTCCTCTCCCCTCCTTCCGCGCCCCCCTCCCCCCAAGGACTAGTCCATTCCCAGGCTGGCCACAGCAGCCAGTTGGCCCTGATGCCAGCTGCCACTGGGCATGGCCACCAGATGGGTCAGTATTGGCATTGGCTGAGTGTTCGCCTTCGTGTGCCCATGTAGGACCTAGGCCTTCAGCTCTGATGTGGCAGCAGAGAACTTTCCAGAAGAACATGTAGATCTAGGCCAGGAAGACTTAGCGGGTGGGAGAGGGTGGGGGTGTGGGTGGGGGGTAGGGTTCGGCCTCTGGTGAAGGGAGAGAATAGTCTGGTAGGTGGGTCCAAACTTGACTTTGGACTTTATTCTGAAGGCCTTTGGGTGGGGGGGGGGGGTGCGGTTATGAGCTGTGAGAGGGAACCTGACAAGCAGGCCAGGGGCCTTGACACTGTGCAGGGGCTCCTCCATTCTGGCCCACTCCCCCTTCTCAGTCCAGGCTACAGGTCAAATGGGGCGGGGGGGGGCTCCCAAACCGGGCTTCTTTGTTACAGACCCAATTCCCTTACTAGCTGTGACCCTGTTACTGAACTTCTGGGGGCCTGTTTCTTCCTCTGTAAAATGGGAACAATCTTCATCCCCACAGGGGTGTTAAATAAAGTAACAGAAGAGGAGAACAAACTGAGAACTGATGGGTGTGGAGGGGGGGAGAGGGGAGATGGGCATGGAGGGGGGCACTTGTAGGGATGAGCACAGGGTGTTATATGGAAACCAACTTGACAATAAACTTTTTTTTTTTCCAAAAAGTACATAACCGTCAACGTTTACTGAAGGCCATAAGCCACTAGTTTTTCTTCTCTGCCCCAAGCTTTATGGTGTTTTGTGGGGTTTTTTCTTCTTCTTTTTTTTTTTTTTTTTAAAAGTGTATGTGTGTGTTTTAACTAAGACCAGTTTACAGTCTAGCTGAGGAGGGGCTGGGAAAAGGCAGCCTTCAGGCTTTTCTAGCTAGGGGTGGCAGAATCGGGCCCAAGTGTTCTAGACACTTGTTGCGGGAGTTAGCCAAGGACCTTCCCTTGTCTGGGGCTGTCTTGTGTCCCTGACCAGGGCTGGCTGGTGCCAACCACCTTCCCGGCCTGTGCCGGGGCTCAGGGCTTGTGTGAAATCCTGAGGATCCTTAGCTCTGGTTGTTTGGGGGAGTCAGGCCGACTTGTTCTTAAGGGGTCAAGGTTGTGGCTCTTCCACCCAGGACCAGATCTCCCTTCTTACCACAGCCTTCATCACCCGCGCTCACAGAGCCATTTCGAACAGCACAGAATTGCATCTGTGAATTGCATCAATGCTGTACTTAAACATGATTCTAGAGATACCAAATGGAATCACATTACGTAACTTATCTCTAAGGGTTTGTGTGTTTTCTAGCACAAAGGTAGACCTCTTGAATTGCCTTTCACCATTAATAGACACCTTATCTTCCACAGCGCAGTTTAAACTGATGCATCTGATCTTTTGGTATTACATGTGCTAAGCACTTGTTATCATCTAAGCACGTAATTCTTTGCACACAGTTTTCTCAGAAGTTCTCAACTGCTGGATCAAGAGCTGTGTGCCTTTTCTCAGGCTCTGTGGACCACACAGGGTGCCAGTCCCCGCCACCCCCCAAGATCAATACCACCACAGATCAATACCATTCTAAAGCTTTGCCGCCTGAGCACCCTAAGGCTTAGAGCCTTGAGCACCCTAAGGCAGAGAGCATTGCTGACCTAAAATGTAATTCTTTGGGAAGGCCTGAGTGGCTTAGTTAAGAGTCCAACTCTTGATCTCAGTTCAGGTTATGATCTCCAGGGCATGAGATCGAGCCCCATGTCGGGCTCAATACTGGGCATGGAATCTGCTTGAGATTCTCTCCCTCCCTCTCTCTGCCCCTTCCCCCTTTCTCTCAAAATAAGCAAATCTATATTAAAAAAATAAAATGTACCTCTTTGATTAGAGGATGAGCATCTTTGTAGCCTCGGTGTCTTTTATAAATTGGCTCTTTGTGTCTCTGCCCTCCTGAACTTCTCTCCCCGTCTGCTAAGCCCCTTCAAGTGGGGGGCCAGACAGCATCATCATCTTCCCCCCGCCAGCCCCTGCTCTTTTCCTCGGTGGAGTTCGTCCATCTTGTTGTTAGACGGTGTTCTGCAACTGTTAATTTTTCCCTCCTAGTTTTATCTTCGAATACGGCCAGCACCATATTCCCCTGCGTAGTCCTGAAAGGACCCATTTGCTCTTTTGATGTCCTGACGTGGCACTTGAGGGGTTTCTCATCCACCGTCAAGTGTATGCAGGTGCTGGCCTCTAACACCTTTGGCCATCGGTACTTGTCCACACATCTTGCCGACGCCCGTGTCCAAGGGCCCCATTGCAGGAGCAGACGTACAACCTACGTGAACGGGGAGGGTCGCTGCAGCGCAAGGTCCCCTTGCTTTCCCTGGAGAGGGGCAATCTCGGCTTTGACTTTCCCAGATCTCCAAGCCTCGTCCACGTTTTGCCCAGCTCCGAACTGCTTTCCCTCCCCTAAACCACCTCTGAGTTGGAGCAGGAACTTGAGCCTCGAGAACAGTTGGGTCAGACCCGATGGGACTGATAAAAAACCGCTTGTGCTGACCTGTGGCAGGAAGCAGAGCAGCTCAGGGGCCTCTCAGGTTCTCTCTTCCTGCCCTTTTAGGGAGAGGGTAAGGGCTACGATCACAGCACAAGATCACAGCGCGAGATCACAGCGTGGCTCCCCTGCCCCCGGGCTCCCTCGTACTTCCATGTTGGTGGAGAGCCTTTGCCTTAAAGGGGAAGAACACCTACAGCCTGTCACTTCCACTTCAGGAAACTCCGACTCCCTGAAGAGTGGCTGCATGCCACTGTGCGGGTTCTCATACACAAGTGCCACTTGTACGGCTGGAGCTGGCCAAGGATCCAGGGGCTCCCCTGCCCCCCAGCGCTTCTGTGCAGGCTTCTCCTATACAAGTACCACTTCTGTCCGGGCGGCAGGAAGACTAGATGCCTGGACCAGGCTTCGGAAGGAAACCACTAAACCGTCAGATTCTATGTGCATCTTTTCAAAACCTGTTTACATCATTGCTAAGCTAACAGGAGACAAGGGAAAACATGCACATAGGCCAAAAATAAAAGCAAGAATGCTGAGAAGTAAAACTAACTTCTATTCTGGGGTTTCTGCAGAACTCCGGAGACCTTGGTGTTCCGCTTTAACGAGTACAGGGACCCACGGGGCAAGCCCAGAGCCTGTCACAGGTGGGGGGGGGGTCTTGAGCCGGGCCTCCTATGGAAGCTGGGATGGAGAGGGCTTCATCGTCAATGCAAGGGTGAAGGACAAATAAACCCCTTGCACGGATGGGGGCAGCAAAGGGTCTTGCCTCTGTTGAACTCCGTGCTAGATCGACAGGCAGAAACAACGAAAAGCAGTCCCCAGAGAATGTCAATTCCCTCTTCTCTAGGGCGTGCAGTCCAAATTCTTAGACTAGGGCAGGGGTCTAGGGAATGCTCAAAGTTTCGATCAAAAAAAGCTCAATGGCTAAATTTAATTTGATCTCTGGGCTTCAGGCAGGAGCAAATAAATGCAAATCCTGTCTGGAAAAAAAAAAGCGGGGGTGTGGGGTGGTTTCAGCCAGTCTCAATTCTCATAAAGTCACAATACCTCCAAAATCACATGATACTATAGCGTGGAAAGATATGGCACAGGCTGGGAAGAGAGTTTAACACCTTGAGAGATCAAAACCAGCATGTTCGCATGTGTGCGTGTGTCTGGGCGTGGAAGAAAAGAGGCTCAACCCTATTAATAATCATGGATGTGAAAACTAAGCTTCAAGGCACTATTCTATAACCACCAGGCTAGCAAAACTTAAAAATTAGAAAATATGAAGGGCCGGTGAAGGGTTGGAAGACAGGAATGCTCGCCCACATGGTTAATGAGCATGCAGGCTGGTAACGCTACGTGGGTAAAGCGCTGGTCATGCCTATAGGTGTCTATAGTGCCAGCTATCTCATAAGTCCCCTCCTAGGTTAATATCCTAGGAAAAACCCTTGCAACAGAATGTCCACAGAAACGTTTATAACAGAAAAGCTCAAAGCAACCCGTATGCCAGGTATCAACAGGAAGCCGTATTGATGCACCGCGGTGCGAACCTATGAAAGGAGCCCACAGTGAACGAGAGGGTTCATCTGTTTGGGTTTGTCACTCACAGGCTGGCCTCCCCGAAAAGGGAACCATCCTCTTACAAGGCTCCATAGAGTCCAGCCATTGCCAAGTGCGTAGTGATCAGTCACAAAGCTCGGCCCCCTGATGAGGTCAGAAAGCGCTGGCACCTTTCTGGGTCTGTGTGAGACACATCAGATTGTGGTGCTGGCTAGCCACGTCAGCCAGCTGCGAGGGCACGGCATGGGCCCTAGATCCGCAGCTGCATCAGGGGAAGAGTCAGTGCAGCCACTCCACCCTCCCCCACCCGATGACGAGCTGGCAGATGAGGGCTGGCACAAAGGTGCGGCTGCATCGCAGTTCCTGTGTCCCCTCCCCCCGGT